TTTGATGGGTCAAATAAGGAATGACTTCAAATGCCCAAGCCTATAAAAAAAAGGAAAACATGTCACTAAGCAATGTTGAATTATTCAATATAATATAAAAATATTAAGAACATTTAGCTTTACCATGAAAGCCCATGGAAAGCCAAAAAGTTACTAGTCTTTGCTCCTAAAGGTTTCAACAAGTAGTCGAGAGTTACTTTAAAACTCTCATAACCCCAAGGGTAGTTGTTGAAAATCTCAATATCCTGACAGAAATTCACCCATTTAAACTGTATGTTGTTGTTGAGATCTTTCGCCAAAAGTATATTATGTGTAAGCCAAAGTAAGAACAATGACTCCTTATGCTTCCTTGGTGTATCCTCGTGTTCCAACAAATTTACTAAGTCAGAATTTTTGAATATTTTGCCAACAAGGGACATCAAGTCCTGCTCCTTAGTTGATAGTGACTGTTGTCCTTCTTTTACTCATTTCTTTCTTCTTCGTGGTTCTTTTTTGACAATGTATTCAAGGACAAGCTCAAGAGGAGGATGACATTTTAACCCTATAACTATGACAAACTCTCTTTTGCCAAAGAATACTGGCATGCCACAATAATTAGTTACAATCTCATCCTTTTTTTGGGATTTTGAAAAATGAACCTTCTTTTCAGAAGTTCATATGGTCATTTGAAAACGTAGAGTTGTATCATTGGTAAATCAAGAAAATGACCGAAACAAATATTTCTGAAAAAATCTTCGAAATGATTCTCTTAAGGATGGCCCTGAAGTTGTTGAAAGGTTTTCCCATGAGTGACCTAATAATGCTATCACCATTAGCATTAGGCTGCAGATGCACAGGGAAAGTGTCTGTATTGATGATTTTAATCCCATCATCACTAGTAGCATTGCAAACTTCATGAAATTCTTGTTCTTCTTCATCAACTTCATTTATTTTTTCTTCTTCTTGCTCAACTACTTCTCTATTTTTTCTTTCTTTTGCTTAACTTGTTTTTGTTTTTCCTCTTCTTCCTCAACTACTTCTATGTTTTTTCCTTGTTCTTCCTCAACTTCTTTTTGTTTTTCCTCTTCTTCCTTTACTAATTCTGATCTTTCTCCATCATCAACAACCTCATTTTTTTATTTTTCTCTTTCTTCATATTCTTTTTCAGAAAATTCTTGTTCCACTTGAGAAGAACAAACTGCTTTAGATGCAAGTTCTTCTAAAAGAGTGGTATTTTCATTCATCTTCCTAGGAATTTTAGACCTAGCCTTCTTCTGGATCTTTGTTGTGTCAGATATATCAAGTTTTATTTTGACAGGAGTCATTATATTTGTACCCCTTGTATCTGCAATCACAAAAGTAAAATATTTGAATGCTACAAATGAAGCTTTTTGAAATACACAACACAATACACAATAACACTAACAACAAATACAATTCAATGTCATACATGAACCAACAAACAAACGACAAAACCCCCTTCCTAAACCCTATCCAACGGACTACAATGAAGTTTTTGAAATAAGAAAATATTTCAAAAAAGAATAACGACACAATAAAAAAGTGATAAAACTACTATAAGCAGGGCAAACAAGTAAGCATGCATTTCAAACCCTAGTTAAATATTACCTGAGAGGATATCAACGATAAATAAGAAATGACGAGGACAACGACGCCTTGCTGTAGAAGAGGATCGCGATAGATTCCACTGACGTTTTAAAAAATATCGCAAGAACAATGATCTTTGAAGGAAGGAATAATGGAACGAAAGAAGGAGAAAAAAGGAAACAAGAGAAAGAAAACTGATTTTTTAAAAAAAAAATTAAATTGTTATATGAAACGACTTTTATAGAATAGAGGTGAGAGGAAAAATGAAGGGATACTTGAACTAAAGATGTTTTACTTTTTTTTTGAATTTTGACAATTCAAATTTTGAATTTTGACAATTCTATTGGGGCACATACCACCTTTATGGTGTGATATATGTTATATAGTATAATGTTGTCACATATCTCCTTTCTGTGACATATTTTATCATATATCTCCTTTCTATGTAATATGTTGTCACATGTATCCTTTCTGTTGGTACATATGCAGATAACTATGTGGTGTTTTTTAAAATAGAAATAATATATGTTGCGCCCAGAACACCACATATGATCATTTCTATCATAATTGACAACCATTTATATTAATATTATCAACAAAAAATAATATCTCACCAATTATTTTATACAACTTATCAACAAAAAGGTAATTCACAATGATATACATAATCACCTATCTAATCAATGATGGTAACCGCAATATTTTCATCTATCTTTGCCTTTTTAAGTCTAGGCCTCTGTGGGTCTTCATTGTTACTAACATACCCATTCAGAGCCTTTAAAATCCCATAATTACATAAGAGTGAAGCATATCTCATGCGAAGGGTTTCAGCACTAAGTCCACAAAATGGTACTTCTAGTCCATCACTCAAAAACTCAGCGTATGCAGCAACAAAAAGTCCACAATATCTGCATGGTATATCATCAATTAGAAAATATAATAACATCACATTTCAATAGTCGTAAGACAAAAAAATAATGTGATACTTACATCTTACTGCTTTCTTGTTGGGCAATACTAGTAACATGTCTGACTTTGAATTGGTGAAATTTGTTCTTTCCTTGGTAACATTCAAGAACTGACCAGTTGGTTCGCGCTTTTTAGTAAGAAAATCCGCTTAACTCAAGGTATTTTGGCGACATTGTAGACAACTTTTGAATCTCGGAGGATAATTTTCTGTTTTTTTTAAATGAGGACATCAAATCATATACTTTTATGCACCGTTCCTCCAATGGAACGACTGCCAAGACCCAATGGAAGTCCTCATTACTATTTACAGGGACATAAACATTATCTGTCAAGTGTCAAGACAGTCTACAAGCTATACCAAATCCTTTCATAGTGCCAATGATTTTATCCTCATATTCAGGAACATCAGTAGCATTGTCAATGTATGTTTTGAAAAAACAACTAGCATTAGTATATCGATATTTAGAATGACTCTGTTGCCTCGACTTTTTACGTAAAAAAATGGCATCCACATACTGCACAGACGCATCAAACAAGTGTATCTCTCTGTATCTTTTTATTTGTATATATTCATGTATTAATCAAAACATAAAAGTGGACATGAATTTACCTCATCAGTCCAACACTTATTGGCTTGAGACATTACGTAGAACCAGTCCTTATTCTTTGAAAATGCAACTACAAAATCAAGTTGGTCAAAATCAAGTTTCGAGCAATAGGCTAAGCAGTGATCGTCCTTGTCTCTTTTGCAGTTGTGTAATAATTATAAATAATTATTTAGTGGACAACAAGAAGAAATACTAATAATAGTTGAACGACCTTACTTTTTTGCATGATGCTTGTAAAGACCCTCGTTTATCCATTGCGAGAATGATGACATTAGTTCAGTTGGACCCTCGCCGTCAATGTTAAAACCTTCAAATAGATATTGTCGCTTCACATCACAAATGACGACTTCAACTTTCTTCATTTTCTTTTTCACTTTTGCTTTTTCTTTCTGCTTCTCCTTCTCTTTCTGCTTCTCCTTCTCTTTTTGCTTCTTCTTCTCCTTCTGCTTCTCCTTTTTCTTATCCTTCTCCTTGTTCTTTTCTTTCTTTTCCTTCTTCTCTTTCTCCTTCTCCTCCTTTGCCTTCTTCTCCTTTTCTTTCTTCTTAGTAATTATAGAAAGTGTTTGGGAAATAGATTCTTTTAACCTCTTACACTTCAAAGGCTGTGAATTTTTCTTGCATCTTCGGAAATCAATATTATGAGATAATTTATTAAAAATATTAACGAATTCTTTAACAAGACTAATAAAATAATCATGTTGCTGCTCACATTGTCCGCATAGACAAAAAGAACGTTTGATGTTAGAAGAGGAAGCAAGATCAATAAAAGATTGAGCTGTTGTCATGGATGAAACTTTTTTTTCTTGTATCATTTCATCTACAAGGTAAATAAAAAAAAATTGAGAGTTTACAATTCATTATAAAATAATATTAACATTATCTTGCGATATATGGATAGTTTGTTGCCATAAATTAACATTATGTTGCCACATATGTATTTACTGTTGACACACATGAAATTTCTATTGCCACATATAAATCTTATATTGCCATAGATGAATCATATGTTGACACAAGTGTACCTATTTTTGCCACAAATGAATTTTTTGTTGCCACAGACGAATCTTATGTTGCCACATATGACCATTTTGTTGCCCTAACGTATAAGTGAGATGTTACAACATATGATGAATGTTGGAATATGCACCAACATATCACTAAGATGTGGCAACATACGATACATCTTTCAACAAATGAAATATATGTTGGACAACTGAACAAGACTATATTTCTAAAATCATATCAACAAAATGACCATAAAAGAAGCAACAAAAGCAACAAAAATGACTTTTCACTGAATGTTAAACAATACATACACATACATTTCCTCAAAATTAGGCTTCTTTTGGGTTGGTTGAGTGTCTTTAGAAAATAATAAATAATAGGGACAATTACATACATTATTATTCAACTTTTACATCTAATTGTTCATTAATCCAAGAAAAAAAATTCAAAAATAACTTATTCATTTTAAATCGATCACGATTTCAGTTCAGAAAAAGAGTAAGTCACGACTGAAGATGTGGAGGAAAATAACGAAAATAGTTGGAGAGGAAAAGGAAGAAAATGATGATAGTCTAGTTGAATTTTTGGATTGAAAAAGAAAAAAGAAGAAGAACAAAAGAGAGAGAAGAGAGAAATAACGCTGGGAGAAGATGAAAAAATCTTTTTTTTTAAAAAATGATTTGACTTTATATAAGTTTTTGTATTTTATAAAAAATTTAAAAAGTTTTTGAAATATTAATTGATTTCAAATTTAATTAATTACATTTGAAAGAGAACTGTTAATTAATCTGTCAAAAAAAAAATAAAAATCAAAGACTTATTTGACACCTTTAATTTTCTCGACAAACAAGGTGTTAGTAGTGACGGCAAAGAAAAAGAAGAGACTCCAACCAATTTTCCGTCCAAATGTATGTCTCCGTCAATCTCTCCGGCAGACAAGCGTCGAACATGAACTCCCAAATCTAGGCCACTACATTGTCGCTCATCTTTGCTTTTCTCTTCTTAGTTGATGATTTTATACTGAACTCAAGTCTTAATGGATCGAGCGCGAACTGCAAGTCCGAGTCAGTTAAGGAAATGGAGCAGCGAATCCGGAGCTCCCATGGCTGCTCTTACTGTCGGCTCTTCATCTCCAAGACATGGCCGCTCTTCCTCTATCACCGGAATGTCTAACATTAAGCGCACTCAGAATGTTGCTGCCAAAGCTGCTGCCCAGCGCCTTGCTCAAGTCATGGCCTCTCAAGCAGCCACTGGCAATGATGACGATGAAGATGGTGATGATGATCTAGGATTCCGATTTTCCGCTCCTCCACCTCCCTCTTTTTCCAGGTCCAAGGTCAGCACTGCTGCCAATAGCTCTAGTGATAGCAATGCTATCAACCCTGTTATTCAGTCGGCTAAGTTAAATACCAGATCATCTTCACCTGCGGTAATTTCTAGACCTCGATCTATCCAGTCTTCATAGTCTCTATTACTTTTTGTCAGCTTTATTGTTGAACTTCTGAAATATTCACCGCCTCTGGAACTCTACCTAGATAATCAAGTACAATCCAGTATGAATGTGTTCAAATTCAACTGCATTTGTACGTAATTTCAGTTATTTAACTCTGTTGTGGACCGTAAGGTAAAAAGATTGAACCTTCTGTTCAGAAAGTGAATATAGCTCAAGACACTGAATTGTTGTTAAATCTCTTAGGATTTAGTTCCTGGGTTTGTTGTAAAAGTTGTAATATAATGTACAGAAGGGATATAGTTGGACAAATTTAATCTAAAAGAGCATAAGCATCAGAACATTATTTTTCTTGGCTCTGATTACCTCTGTATGGTAATTGTTTCCATTTCCTGCTTCTATGAGTAGCTAGCTAGGAATATTGTTGAGGAATTGCCGTCTCTTCGTTCAACATCAGCAGGAAGACCAACTGTCCCATCTCGTCCTCCACCTTCAATACCAAGTACCCAACAGCCTGTAAGGACTCCTTCACCTATACCACCAATCGATCCTCCAACCAACAAGCTGAGAGAGAAAAGGTACTAATAGTGAAAACCTCTTTTCTGATATTTCCTTTTTCCTTTTCAGTTTGACACTCCTACAAACAAGCAGCTAGAGCAAAGGGTCTAAATAGATGTGCTTTTGCTTTTCATTTGTAGGTTGTATCTATTACTTGTCATTTATTCCATATTCGCCAAGTTCTTGTAATTGTGTCATTTAATCAACTTTTAGAACCCACAATATTTGCTTTTTGATTATATTCTATTGCTATGACGTTTCCAAAGATGCTGAACTAGCTTAATCATCTGTACATATGTGTAGTTCTGTTGTTGTGCAACAATGAAGCAGTCCAAGTGTGTCTTAAGGCACATGAGCTTCCTTCATATATATGCAGTAGGTGCTTTAGCATGATTCAGTTCCTTTTCTCTGCATTCATCATCCTAATGCGCAATGCAGATTCTCTCCAGATTTAAGACAAGTTAACTTGAAAGACACAGGAGATCACCGTGCTGCTTCCGCGCTTCGTGATGAAGTATGTTCATTGTGCTATCAAATTGCAATTCTCTATTCTTACATGCATAGTATTCAGTCATTAGACACGCAAAAGTGTCTGTTGTGTTTCTATATACACATAATTACTTGGATATATCACTTGACTTCAGTGCCGTTTCTGCTCTGATCCTTCAATTTTTTTCGGCAGCTTGATATGCTACAAGAAGAAAATGAAAATCTTCTTGGAAAGGTGCACGTTCATCAGTTCTTTTTTCTCTACTTTACTTGCATTAAGACATGCATCTCTGAATGTGTTTATACTGAATTTGAGAAATTCTGTGCAGCTTAGAGTTGCCGAAACGAGTTATGAGGAGGCAGAAGCTAGAGTGAAGGAGCTTGAGAAACAGGTTATGCCATTACTATTCCCAAACTGTGCACAAATCCTTCCTCTTTGTTACTCTTAAGTACTTGTAACATTCATTTGTTTTTTCTCGATGCGTATAAGAGCCTCAGTGCTTCATTACTGGAATTTACTGGTTTGCCTGAAAGAGGATGAAAGGAATAAACTTATGTTTTGTCTTGGTCTTTTGATAAAAATAAGAGAGGAAAACTTGATTATAGTCAGCGTGTCATTCTTTGATAACACCTCGTTTATATGAAAAAAGAAGTCATAAGATGATAATTAGAATGGACACCTTATTTTGAAATTTTGCTGGGATAAATATTATTGATTCTCTTTGTGGTTTATGCTCCACAGATGTTTTAATTTAAACTTCAAGTTCTTTTGATAGTTGAAAGGCATTTCTTATGCATCAGGTTGCAGCACTTGGAGAAGGAGTATCTTTAGAAGCAAAGTTGTTAAGCAGGCAAAAGTCTTCCACATCTTTCTCTTACCACTGAATTTGTATTTATGCAAACATTTTTGGTGGATATGCATGTATTGTAGTATCATGATATCTTATCAATTGCAGGAAGGAAGCCTCTTTGCGCCAAAGGGAGGTCAGTTTGGATATTTGAGTTAACTGCAGATTAATTTGGTTACACTGCTTCTTCCTTTGGTCTTTTGTGTGAAAGAATGTTTACTTAAACAGCATAAATATTAGAAATCATTCTTTATCCAACTAATAACAGAATGTAAATGAAATGTTTATCTTGGCCTGTTTAGACATGACTCCACATATTGAGGAAAACACACAGACAAACATTGTTAGAGTGACCATTCTATTATTTCTAGTATGCTACATGATAGTTGGTAGAGTATGTTAATTTCCCTGCTTATTCTCGCTAAACTTTCATATTCAAGTTTGAATGTTATTAATTGTATGTTCAACTGTACTTGTAATAATTATCGTAGTTGCGCAAACTCTTCATTTTTGCTGCCGCACCTGTGTCAACATGAGACGGTTGTCGGTGCGGGATACATATGGGATTCAGTCAACAACATCGGATAGTTTGACCAAAGTCCATGGACAAATTTGGGGGAAAGTTGAGATTTTGATTTCTCAAAATAGAAGATATAATAGATTTAAGCTAAGTTGGGTAGACTCTTCACTTCCAATAAGCAACCATGTTGAATTCTCCAAAAATACACTTTTGAAGAATTCGACGTGCACCCGTTACATTTTTAAGATTCTGAGCACCATAGGATTTAAAGACAGAAGAAATGGCATAACTTCAATATTATAGTCCTTTTGTCTCCTTTTTGGCTTTTCCTCTTGGTCAATATTCACTGCTTCATATTTCAGACAGAGAGAAACCAAGTATTCAAATAGTGCAGTTGTGATTTCTAGTAGGCAATAGCAATGATCGGTAAGGAAAGTTGGTCAAAAGCCTCAAATGACTTTCTTTTTCTTTTTTTGAGGGGAAGAACTGGAGAGCTTGAAAGAAAAAGTTGTGGTCTTGGGGAAGTAAACCTAGAAGATCTTTATAGCTCTATTTTATTAATTGGATTTTTTAGCCAAATTTTACCATCCGTATCCATCCGTGGATCCGTACCCGAACAACATCATCATCATCAAGAACAACAACATAATACCCCGTGGAATCCCACATGAAGGTAGAGTGTAGCAAATTCAAGTACAAAAAAGGAGAAAACTATGGAGAAAACATAACAACTAACAAGAGAAGCCGTGCAAAGTCTACCAGGAAAGAACATGAAAAACAAAATAGTGTTATTCAAGAAGAAAAAGAATAGCAAATTCAAGTACAAAAAAAGAGAAAACTATGGAGAAAACATAACAACTAACAAGGGAAGCAGTGCAAAGTCTACAAGAAAAGAACAACAATAACAAAATATTATAGTGTGATAATTGAAACACAATAAACAATAGACGATGGTAGATATCAATAGCAAGAATTACAATAATATGTCTGGTATAACAACAAACACCGACAAACCTAAATACTCGAAAAGCAAGATAACACTCCACTTAGTGTAACCCTCTCCCGTAATACACGTACTCCACACCCTCCTATCTAAGGTTATATCCTTGATAACCTGAGTTTTTCCATTTCCAGTCTAATCAACTCTCCCTATACTTCTTCAGCTACCTTTACTTCTCCTCATACCCACTATAACCAACCTCTTTCACCTCCTCACTGGTGCCTATGCATCTCCCCTTCACATGTCCAAATCATCCAAATCTCGCTTCCCTCATTTTATTCACCACAGAGGCCACTCCCACGTCATCTCAAATATTCTCATTCCTAATCTTGTTGTTCCTTCTATGCCTACACATTCACCTCAACATCTTTATCTCCGCAACATGCATCTTCTGAACATGGGATTTTTAACTGTCCAACTCTATGCCTTATATAAGAAAGTTGGTCTAACCACCACTCTATAGAACTTACTTTTAAATTTTGGTGGTACTCTTTTATAACACAAGACTTCGGATGCAAGCCTTTACTTCATCCACAACGCATCAATACGATGTGTGATATCATTGTCGATGTCCTTATTTCTTTGGATTATAGATCCAAGATACGTGAAACTGTCTCTCTTGGGCATAGCCTATGTGTCAAGCCTCACTTCCACGATCGCCTCATGTTGCATCACTGCATTCAGACGACATACTCTGATCCTGCTTAACTTGAACCCTTTAGACTCTAGAGTTTGTCTCCACATCTTCAATCGACACTAACTCCGTTGCACATCTTATTAATCAATGCTATTTCGTCCGCAAATAACATACACCAAGGCACCTTATTTAAGATGGACCATATCAATTCATCCATTACTAAGGCAAATAGGAACGGGCTAAGAGTTGATCCCAGTGCAATCTCATCTCCACTAAGAAGTGCTCCAGATTTCCTCGCACCGTTCTAACATGCATATTAGCTCCATCATACGTGTGCTTAATTGCCCTAATGTAAGCCACCGATACACTTTTAGCCTCTTGGCATCTCCAAAGGACTTCCTGCGGGACCTTTTTTGTAAGACTTTTCAAGGTCAATAAATACCATATGTAAGTCGCTCTTCCTTTCTAGGTATTTCTCCACCAGTCACCTCACAAGATTGATGACTTTAGTAGTCGATTGCCTTGACATGAATCCAAATTGGATTGACATTTTACCCGTCTTAAAAATGACATTAAACAAACCAATTAACCACTCCATACATGCCTTCCCAAACTCCACCAGAATCTCATCTAGTCCTTTCGCTCTTCCCCTGCTTATCCTTATCGTGCACTTAACCTCAACCTTAATACATCTACAGTACCCGAAATCCGATGTCTCTCAGTGTGCTCCAAATCACCTAGCGGAGCCCTATCTTTGTCCAAAGCTTATGGAAGTAAGTTTGCCATCTTTTCTTAATCAGGGTCTCCTTCGCCAACACCTTGCCTTACTTATCCTTGATGCACTTCACTTGATCCAAGTCTCCGACCTTCTTCTCTCTTGCCTTTGCGAGCCTGTACAATTTCTTATCTTCACCTTTGTCTAAGACTGGTCAACGGACCGGAACCGGGTCACTGGACCGGAATGAACCGGTACCGGACCGGACCGGAATCCGTTGACCGGAATTTTGACCGGTACCGGGATGAACCGGACCGGAATTAATTACCGGGATGGTTCATCGGTTCCGTCCCGTTCCACTATATACCGGGACGGAACCGGAATGAACCGGAACGGACCGGGATGGAACGGGACGGGATTAACGGGACGATATTTTTTAAATTACGAAAATATAATTTTTTTTTATTTTTTAAGTATAAATTAATATTTTTTAAATTTAT